GTTGTGTACCTGTGTACTCACTTGTGTTTGTTGATGATCATGCTGGCCTGGAGTTGCGGTACCTGAGATAGAGTAGGATGTCATCACATTGAAAACAGAACAGCAAATAGAACTAGAAAACTTTTGTTCCTTATTATTATTCTTTTGACTCAGATAAAGTGTCGGATAGGTGACCGTGAAATTATTGTCTTTTGCGGTAGAACAGCGTGCTGATTCAGGTGACCGTGAATTATTGTTTATTTTGCGATAAATAATCTGGCCAACAAATTTTCGTGTTTCTGTTCTCTCAAAATGTCTTACTTCTGGAAATGTCTGCAATAGTCTATCTTGACGAGATTCCTGACTACTTTCCTGTTTTCTTTTCCGATCACGCTTTCCGTTGGGGAAGGACCGTCTGAACTCAGGACAAGGGGATAGGCTGACAGAAAGAGAGAGGAACTGTTAGCCTTGTGGAATCAGTTCCTGGTGGAGGTACAGCTGTCTGGACCAGATGCCGAGCAACACATCCGTGATAATTTCGATCTTCAGGGGGTTGAAGACCGCCTGAAGAAGTCTATCACGGCTGTGGAGGTTGTGGCAGCCGGTACAGAGGCCTCCAAACTGATTGCTCAGGGGCGACAGGCTCTAGACCAGTTTGCTTTAAAGCAACTGGAAGAGATCATGGAAGCTACTCGCAAGGGGGAAGTAAAAACAGAAGTAAGTGAAGAATCGATTGATTCTAATATCCAGCAGCTAAGAGAGGCCTTGGCTGCGGAAGAAAGAAAGAAGTAAAGAAGTTGATGGGGGACGCAATAAAGTCTGCTGGTCCCGTGATAAAGACAAATGGAAATGGAAATGGATCCAATGGAAATGGATCCAATGGAAATGGATCCAACGGAAATGGATCAAGTCAACCATCTACTCCTCACTCTTCTTCTAAGTCTACTCCTAAAGAAACTCCAGAAAAGACAAGCGCTGAACCCGAAAAACCGAAGAAGAAAGAAAAAGTGAAGATGAAGTTGCCATTTACAATTTGCAACAAGAAAGAAGAAAGTCTGTTGCTGTGGATTGCAGAAATCCAGACGTATGTGAGTACCGCACCGGTCGAGCCGGAGTCTCAAGTCGCGTTCACCACTTCTTGTCGCACCGGTCGAGACGAAGTCATTTGTTCCCTCTGCAGGGCAAGGTCACGGTCAAATTTTTGACTACCACTGAATTTTTGACATCAAATTTTTGACCTTGCCCTGCAGAGGGAACAAATGACTTCCCAAGTCAAAAATTCCTATGCAGTGGTAGTCAAATCTGGAGGAGGAGGAGGTAGACAATACAACGGAAAACGAGTTCTCTGGCGACAGAAGCGCCAAGACCACACACTTGTCGTCTTCGATGACGACACAGTGGAAAAGTGGCCGAACGAGGAGAATGATAACAACAGTGACTCCGGGAAGGGGGAAGTCACTGCTGTTGTGGCCAATAAGGGAGGACCACCCAGGACAGGAGGGAAGAAACAAAGAGCGTTTCCATGGCACCCTGGCATTGCTGAGGGGAAGCCATGGGTCGAAATGGGTATGACTAGAAAGACTTGGCAGGAGCGCATGGACAATGCGCAATGTCTCAAGTGCGGCACAGCGGGACATGTGATCGCCTACTGCCCTCAGATCCGGAACCCAAAAGCGAACAGCCAGTAGGAGTAGCATCTGCTCCTACTGAGATTAAGGGTAAAAACGAACAGACAGGTAAGGCGC